ACCCACAGAGATGAGGATCAAAGCGTTAGATTTATTTCACTTGCTGCCAGTTCAGCTTTCCATGATTGAGAAGCTTGGCCTTAAAATATGACCTGCAGCAGGTGCTGCTCAAACAGAATAAACCCAAACAATCCCAGTTCCCAGCTGAGCCAGTGCCTGCTGGAGCCTGGGCAGGAAAACCTGGCATCCCTCCACTGCTTCCCATTCAGCACTTGTTGTGTGCTCTCCTGAGCTGGGATTCAGCCTTGGGTCCAACACTCACAGAGAAAAGCCAGGAAATGGTATCAGGGCAGGCACAGCTGGGAGATGTTTTGTTGTTCTGCTGCTGCCCATGATCTTTTTGCCTATGCTCAGTAGCTGATGCCGTGGTTAGATAAGGAAAAGCTGATTATTGGGACAGGAACCTGCAAAGCTGTAGGAGAGCTGCTTTTAATTCTCTGCTTTGATTCAGGTTTACTCTCTCTGTCCCCAGGCAAGTTATTTAATCCCTCAGCTTTTCTTTTTGGATGAAAATAGAAAAGCAGGATATTTCCATGCATCACAAGAGACTGAATTTGAAACTGAAGGTGTTCAAATAAGCTTTGTCTAAGGCCAATGCATTGCAGATAAAAATCAAGTAATTAGTAATAATTCAAAAATCCACCACATGAAGTGAATTCGAGTAATTTGATTTTTGCATTTACTGTCTCTGAAAGGAATTGATTAATATTGTCAGGAGATACTGAGATTTTTCAGATAGGCTGCTTCTGAAGAAATAAGGCTGCCATAAATTTTAGAAGAGATTATTTAAAAAGGATGCACCTGAATCCAAAGGATCCCTGTCAAATCTGTTCCTCATGATCTTTTTCCAGCATGGAGGAAATTTGTGAGGCAGAAGTGGCAGAGGGTGATGAGCTGGGAATAACCTCAAACCCTTCTGGATTGTCACACAATGGCTTCTGGATTGCCTTGCCCTCTGCCAAGAAAAAGCTCCATGATTAATGAACTCTTTTTTGAATGCTGGCCTAGGACTTCCCTGGAATTCTGTCTCATCAGCTCTATAAACCCAGAAAATATCTGTATTTTTCTCTTATGAGTGCAATGGTAGATCCTGGGAGATTTTATAGAATGAAACCAGAAGAGGTTCTCTGAAACAACAGCAAGGACATCCTGAGTCTTGGAAATCATTACAGCTTTCTTTCAGCCTTCCTTAGACAGCTTTATTGCTCAGTGCTGATGGGCCCCAAAGAGATTGGATGTGACAGAAATCCCTGTCTGCAAATCCCAAACCCGAGGAGATGGATCTTGGTGTCACCAGGTGATCACACAGACAAAATTCCCCAATTCTTCTCCTAGCACAAGGCTTTGCTGTAGCTGCTGTGTTCCTCTGATGGATTGCCACAGAAAAGCTTCAGATTTCTGTGTCTACATGAATAAACCAGGTATTTCTGGAACTCCGGGACCCTGGGAAATGCTGTTTTTGGAGCAGGTGCCACACATCCAGCTGCTTCCTGGGGTTAGCAGCTGTCCCATGCCACACACGGTGGGAAAACTGCAGCTCTTGGGAGGATTTAGTGAGTTGGGTGTTCTTGTCTGGTCTGGAGCTGTAAAAGTGTCTGAGATTTGAAGACACTCAGCCAAAGCCCTGAGCATTAGGCTTTGCTAGTTTTTTTCCCCAGATCCTCTGACCACAAGAACACACACAGAGCTCCCCTTCCCCAGCATGGGGGATGTGGCTTTTAGGGAGAAAGTGCCATGTCCCAGGGGAGTCTGAATTGACAGGAACCTTCTTAATATTATCAGAATCTGTTTTTTATTGTGACACTGGGGGGAAAAGGGGGAAGGATTTAAGCCCCTGGAGGCAGCTTTGCATGCAGTGCCAGTGAGAGAAGAATCTGATTCCCTGTGATGTTTTTATTCTGCTTTTTCCTCACAGGCACACAATAAATAGTTTATGGTGTGTACCTTCATACACTGCACTGATTTACCTCATCCATGACCCTCTGAGGTCATTTTATCCTGCCAGTGTCCAGGACTGGATGCAGCCCATTAGGATTTTAATTGCATTCTGCCTCTCCATAGCACGTTACTTGCTGCCACTCAAGATGGAAAATGTGCAGGACTATCTGTATATGTTTTCCTTTGGGAGAAATTTGAACTTTTGTAATGCTAGGGAGTGAGAAAATCAAAATATGTTAAATGAAAGTCTCAGCTTAGAAATGTTACTGTGACAGCAACATTTTCTCATGTCAGTACAGCAAGCTTGTTCTTTTAGAACATCCTATATGTGCCATGATTTTCTTACAAAAGTCCATGGTTGTTGTGGTTTTATGTGACTTTAGTACTCTGAATTTCTTATGCAGATGTTGAGCAATGAATATGGATGTGTTGTGTTTGTCCTCCTAATCTGATCTGTGCAGTTGAAGTGAAAAAATTCTGTAATACTTCAGAAGCAATGATGTTACCTAGTTTATGTTGTTGTCTCTTTTGGTCGTTTAGTCTGATTTTGAGAGATGGCCAAGAACCAATTATGCAAAGCTCATGCAAACCCCCAACAAAATGAAAAAGGAAATAAAAATAAAATAAAATAAAATAAAATAAAACCACAAAAAAATACCAAAAAGCTCAATATAATTTTATGTGCATTGAATATGTACAGTGCCACCAGCACCCTCCTTCAAACCCAGGAGTTTTGCTCTCAGCTTATATTTTTATAGTAATTCAGAAAAGGCTATTTTCCTCTTTTTAGAGTTTTGCTGTTGGCCATTTTATAGAATGGTTTGGGCTGGAAGGGACCTTAAAGCTCATCTCATACCAGCCCCTGTCCTGGGCAGGGACACCTTCCACTGTCCCAGGCTGCTCCAAACCCCAATGTCCAACCTGGCTTTGGACTTCCAGGGATGCAGAAGCAACCACAGCTGCTCTGGGCACCCTGTGCCAGTGCCTCACCACCTTCATAACCAAGAATTTCTTTCCAATATCTGATCCAAACCTATTTTCTTTCATCACCCCTGTCCTGGCACTCCATGTCCTTGTCACAAGTCCCTCTCTTTCCCTCTTGTCAGCTCCTTTATTTGACAGAAGTAAATCAGCCTTTCTTCAGCTTAAGGACACAGAGAAGCTGAGGCAAGAAAGTTCTTTGCAAGAGTCAGGAGAAACTTACCCAACATGCTGAAGTCACTATTTATTTTGTTGTGTGTCATTTATCAATTTACAGCCAAATTCTAGGGAAGCCAGCACGGCACTTCTCAGCTCTGCAGTAAATCTCCTACCCCAGGAGCCCTTCTACTGAAAGGCAGACAATTAGGATTTTCAGAGTGCTGCTAACTTGTTACAGTTGTTTACCAAATACTAAAGTTGTGTGCATTACAAGTGATAGATGTACCCTTCTTTTCACTGCGATAACAAAAAGTTGTCTGTTTGGCAATAGTCAAGATTTTTCCATTTAATCTAACATGAATGGCAAAGTCTATTCATTGAAGGAGGCTGGTGAAAGAGTTGCAAAGGACTGGTTTAGTGTCTAAAACAGAGCTGGGTTTGTTCAGTTGTTATTGTGTTGGGTTTTTTTCCAAATCTCATTTTTTTAGTTTTGGGAGCACTAGTATAGAATTTCCAGGAGTGAGTTTCAAAATCCTACTAAATATTTACCTCATCTTTGTTTTCAGATATATAAAAAACCTCAGCTGACTGCTTTGTAAAAGGTTTGGTGAACTGATGGTTTTACTCTGGTTTCATCCTTGTCCCTTTTTGATCTTCATTAGAAGCCTGACTCTGTAGTGAGCTGGTTTGTCTTTGAACCCACACAGGCACAGTGGGCTCAGTGTGGGTGTGTGTGTTCATAGGTACTTTGCTATTATTAGTTGATTTTAAAGGAAAAAACCAAAACAAATCAAAGTATTTGTACAGGAGCAGTACAAGGGGAAGTTCTTAGGTGTGTCTGTCCTTCCAGGCACTCCTGATCTCCAATTTTTTATGCTCTGCTGCTTCTCCAGCATCTGCCCCAAAGTCCCATTTTCTTCTCTCCAGTGCCAAGAGCTTTCCTAACCCTGGTTTCACTCCCAGCCATGGGCTGTAGCTTAGCTAAGAACCTGTGCTGAAGAACAGCAGCTCCAGAGCCCTGCACATAAATATAGAATTTAATCATCCTGCACTGACTTCATGGTACAAATGTTCCTCCAGGCCACAACTCTCCTCCAAGTCCCTGCCTACTGAAAGCAGGTGTTAGGGGAAAAATTAAATCACTGCTGCTCTTTCTGAGTAACAAATGTGAGAGGAGAGTTGGCATAACTTTCTCCAGCCCTGTACACACATTTCCACAGGTAATGCATTGTGAAACTCCACAGCTTTAATCCAGAATACAGAAAGCAGCAGTTTACATTTCCTCATACTCTTCTTTAGATGGATCCAGATGAGGCATAACTGAGGTATTTGACTTTTTTAGATGAAAGGGGAATTTGCTGTAAATCAGATGACATTAGAAAAATCAGCCTATTGGGGATTGATCAGGATATTGTAGAAGTGCAGTAGTCCTGTGATCAATTGTCTCTCTGTCCCTATCTCTTGATAATAAATACAAGAATAACTGCAGGCACCATTTATTCTTCTATTGAAAGAAATGGAAATTTTGCTGGCTGAAATTCACAGATGGTTCATCCTTGAGGATTTATTACTTTTTTCCCAATCTCTCTGATAATAACAGCAGAACTAATAAATGTTCTGCAGCTGAAAAGATGATCTTTGAACACTGCATAAATCTGTTCTAGGCAAGCCATTTATCCCAAACTCTGCATATAAAAGGAGAGGAGAGCAGAGAGTTTCTCACCCCCTGGAATCCCAGAATATTATCTCACCAGGATTTTGCTTCTATGTGCCAGGCTTTTTGAATAGTCTGTTGAATCCAGATTGGCATGACTTTGCCAAATGGGATTTCCACTTCTAGCAGCCTTATAAGCTTGATTATATTAAATAACGTACAGTCATTCTAAGTTATGAAAAGTAAGTTTTTTATTCTCTTTTTCAAGGAGTAACTGGGTGACCTCTTACAGAGTGTTGGTGAGCAATGACAGCCACGCATGGACTGCTGTCAGAAACGAATCTGGAGATGTGGTGAGTACAACAAAACATGTTTTATCAGGAAGAACAGAGGTGGGAAAGCAGGGGCTGGCCACAGATTAATCAGTGGCAGCATCTCTCAGTGGTCCCATGAATTTTAAGAGCAAATCCCAAGGCACAGAATTACCCAGGGGGAATGGGGGGATTGCCATCCTCAAAGAGCAGCTCTGGCCCGAGCCACCATCAGCCAGGACCTGAAAGGTGATTTTACATTTCTCTTACCAAAAGAACTCAGAGACAGTTTGAAGCACTGACATTGCCATTTCCCCCTGTTTGGCCTGGCCAGATTTTTGAAGGGAACAGCGAGAAGGAGATCCCAGTGCTGAACATGCTGCCGGTGCCGCTGGTGGCGCGGTACATCCGCATCAACCCCCGCTCCTGGTTCCAGGAGGGCAGCATCTGCATGAGGCTGGAAATCCTAGGCTGCCCCTTGCCAGGTGAGAGCCTTTTTCATTAATGTTGGCATGGCTGCATGTGGCAAGACTCAAAAATTGCATTTCCTTTGGATAGCTTTGCTTTCGGTATAATATTTATCTTTAGTGAGTAGCGTTATGCAAAAAGAAACAGAAATATCTGCCCAAGCCCACAAACAGTATAAGTTTTGACATGCAACTCATAGTATCTGTTTTATTAATAAAGGCAATTCCCTTTATTAATTAAACATGATTGCACTGGTGATCTAACAAGATTTTCTTTGTTGTTTGGGCTTAAATGCAGAGCAGTAAAGTAAATCTATCAGTAAATCTTCCTGAGTGCACATGTTCAATGGAGACAACTGGATTATGTACTAGGACAAGCATTTGCAGATGTCTCAAGCTTCTAAGGCAAGAAATAACAATCATAGACCCTGATTTTAAATTTTTATTTCTATTTCATTATATAGGTCATAGGACTTCCCTGAAATATTTTGAAGGCAAATCCTGTTGCTGAACTAGTGCTTAGCTTGTAGGGAGGAAGGAGGGGAGTTTGAGCTGTAAGGAATTTCTAGGATATTTCAAGTGTTATTAAATCCAGCATCATCCCTGGTAAATCAGAACTGAAGGGAAATTGTCCTATGCTATGCAAAGCCACTTAAAAAAAGAAACCCAAAACCATTCAATACTGCAAATTCTGCCAAAGCCATGATTCTGCTAGGCACATTGTGAATAATCTTGTAGTGGATTTATGTCTTCCTTTCTGGGTGTACATGTATATAAATATTTAAAAACCCTCTTTTCTCAAATATTTTCTAAATTACTCACTACTCATTCCACACCTCTCATCTGCTTTTTTTGTTGTTGTTGTTTTCTTTGATCTCAAATTCTGGCACCATGGGGATTTTTTTTTTGCAGAGGTCTGTGATTAGTGTTTTAAGAAATACTAGAGCCAGAAAAAAACTGCCTTACCAGAGCCTTTCATCGTTGCTTTTACTGTTCCTTCTTCTGTTCAGAACTTGCTGCCTCCAGCTCCTCTGGTGATGTAGGGTCTTCACATGCCAAGAAGACCAAGCTTGATTTTTGTCCTTTAGATCTTTAAACACTCAGGGAAAAACAAAACAAAAGAACACTGTTTGGGGCATGGAAGGGATAATTCTCTGCCAAAGAGAAGTGTGGGGCAAGCATTGTCATAAATTTTAGTCTGTAGATGTGTTATCATAAGCACTGAAATTTAGCAGCACACAGATAGTCAATGGGTAAAAAATGCATCCTGGACTTGATGGCAGTGACCAAAGGTGCCTGTACATGTGAATTTCCCTGTTTTCAGGAGGATTCTGATTTCTTTCAGCTGTGGGTTTAGAACACTGCACCTCTGTGTGTTGCTTGTTTCCCATTGTGATGGGCAAGTCCACAGCCAACATTTCCTCTCAACTCCTAAAAGGACTCCCTAAGAGCAGAAATTTCTCCCAAATTCCGGTGTGGATCTGCTCTCTATAAACCAGGGTGTTAGGCTGAAGGAGGAGGAACCTTTCTTCAGCACCATGACTTTTTACTGCCACACAGGACACACACAGAGAGGTCTCCAGGGAACAACAGAGATGACACCCAAACTGTTTTCTAGGGCAATTTGTAGGGAAATCCTCACGATCCACTTCTCTCCCCTAAAACTGCATCTAAACAGGAAAAAGGCAGTATTTGGAAAGATATTTTGAAGACATTTGGAAAGAATGATTTTTATTGAGTGCAGCAGTTTTTTTACCCTGGATTCTTACTGGCTTTACACCCATCCAGGGCCAGATTGTGCTTGGCAGTGCTGGCATTGGTTATCCTTCAGCTTCACGGGTTTGTGTCAGTGGGTGAAGCTGGGAACACATCCCCACTTTCAGCACTGTCCTGCTGAGTGCTCTTCCAGCTTTTCACAGATCTTGGATTCACATGGAAACAGCATCAGAGCATCCCCCTGGTAGTAATTTATTGAGTTAATTGCCCGCAGTGGCTGATTCAGTATATTCCTGAAAGAAAATGCCAGAATCATTCATTGAGAAACACAATGGGAATGGGGTGTGTTCATTCAGAATGTAATTGGACTGAAGAACTAATAGGTTTTGATAAGTGCTGACCCATCTTTTTAGCTCAGAAAGAGCTGGCATTTCTTTCTCCTTGCTCATGTTGCGCATCGCACGCGAGGCGCCCGGGACAAAGCTCTTCCCCAGGTTCCAGAGGCCTCTCCACGCACGTTTTCTTCCTCTGGGATGGGACTTGTGTTTGCAGCTCCCTCTAAGTGGATTCCTCACCCCTTTATTGGTGTCTTTTTGCTCATTCCAAGTTAAATCTCTGGCTGGTTTGGCCATGAGAGCAGCGACTTTGACAGTGCTGCTCTAACACTCTGTATTGACTGTGGGACTGGAAATTAAGGCCTGGCAGGTTTTTTCCCATAAAAATGACCGATTTTCCTAAATTTGTCAAAATTAGGAGGTAAATCTCTGTTAATTCACACTTTTATAGCCTTTCCAAAGCCCAGGGCATAGGGAAATACCCTAACAAGTAAAGGAGGGTGGAGGGAAATAAACCTATTTTTTATAATTCTGAATTTTTTTTCATGTCATCTAGACTTGTGATTTTAGGGTTTATGCCTTCATTAATACCTGAATATATTAAACAATTTGCATTCAGTCTGTGCTCTGTATCAGCTTTCCATCAAGCAGGCTCTCAAGGGTGGGTAATAAAGGAATAAGGAAAAAGGATAAAAGAAAAAGAAAAAACCTGAATAAGATTGATATTCAGGTTTGATTAACTGTCAGAATGAGATGGAAATGGTTAAAGACAGCTAGAATCCATTCCTGTGGGTTGGGCTCTGTCCATAAAACCTGCTGCATGTGCTAGATGCACTAAAAATTGGATAAATCATGATAAAACACTATTTGGACAGCTGGAACATACTTATCTAATCAGTACTATATAAGATAATTATAATTTTGATCAGTGAAATGCTTATACTTATCCATAACATACATTTTTGTTGTATTTGGACAAACAACCTTTTCTAGATTGTTGCAGTAGCTCTAAAAAAAAGAAAAAAAAAAAGAAAGCTGTGTTGTTCAACTGTCAGTGCTATCTTTGGGCAACAGAAGGGATTTACTGTTTCACCAAGAGAAAGACATTTCTCCGTGGAGGAAAGATGCCAGAAAATCTTACCTGTAACAACAATCAGTGCTGCCATGTCTCAAAAAAGAGGGCAAAAAGAGAAAAAAACCCAAAACCATCTAATTCCCTCTCCACTTTCCAAAAATGCTGGTATTTACATAGAGGGAGACTGACACACACAATCTTTGCAATTGCCTCAGAGGGATGGATGTGCTTTCCTTGACTTCTCTTTTTCAAACCTACAGAAGGTCAAAATGAAATTGCATGGGATCCAAAGCACCCAGAAACTTGGAAGAGAAAATCAGTTGAGTCCTTCATGCATTTATTTATATTGTAGAGTACTCAGGGCAGGAGACAATTATTTTAGTGGAATAAATCTGTGATGAAATTTAATTTTTAATAGTTCTTATATAGAAAACTATCACTGGTACCATGATCATGAAATTACTTTGAACCCAAGATATAAAATTAATTTTAACAGCTCTGTAATGGAGTACTGTGTTTTGCAGTGGCTTCAGTCTGATTTTTACTGCTTCTCTTTTAGTTCCAGGCTACCTGGTCAAGTCTAAAGTTCTGTTCATTTTTTGATAAAAATGTGACTTTTTACAAGTATCTTTCATTATAAATGTCCATGTAAACAGCAGTTCTAAATCCACATCTACTTCTGAGAATAAAAGGAAAAAAGAATCAGTTTATAATTGAAAAATATTACTTCATTGCTGATTTAATGTGTGATGTTAATGCTCATGAGCAATGCTCATGAGTCTGCCATGAAATAGATCATGTGGAAAAAAACTTAGGATCACCTGATGTGGCTGCCAGTGGATTTATTTCCAGATTACACATTTGCTGTCTGTGAGATGTTCAATTTAATGAAGACAAGTCAAATTCACTTAAATTAAATGGAAATTAAAAAAATGAAAAAAAACCCAGTCATTTGTGAAATAGCACTTTGGGGTTTTTAAGGCATCCTAAAGGATTTAAACCAGAATATTCATTTTATTAAAAACTTCTCTGAATCCCTGGATTGCCTTCAATATGCCCTAAATTTGTAGCAGCACTTCTGAGAAGCTGAAACTTGCTGGCAGCATCAGGGCCTCACTGGCTGAGGTGCTGTAGAGCTGTAATAAGTGAAAATGCCCTTTTTTCCCATCAACTGCCAAGCAATTCATCCTTTCTGGTACTTTTGCTGGGCAGTTTTCTGAGCCCTCATGCTGCAGGGTAGTTTGGGCATTAACCCACCTGAAGTTTTGGGATCCCCAGCACAGAAGGTGATGCCTTGTGCAGGCTGCCCTAGAGCAGAGGCTGGACAGAGCTAAAGAATAAAGCAGGGATTTATTCCAGGATCTCCTCATGGATCCACCTTGGGCAGCACCAGAGCCCAGCCAGGGCTGCACCCAAATGACCCAAAATGGTCCCAAAATGCACGAGCACTCCCGGGGCTCTCCCTGGGATCAGTTCTGCTCCATTGGCACCTTGGAGTTCATTGTCCCATTCCAGCTCCAGCCCATCAGTCCCACCCTGCTGGATTTTCTCTCTCCAGCCCACGCTGTTTGTGCTCCTGGGCTGAGGTTTGGATCATTTGTCCTTGGTGCCCAGCTGGAGCAGGAATTGTTTTGTCTCCCTGCTCTGTGCACAGAGCTCAGCATCCCCTGGTATGGAACCCAGACCCACACACTAAAGCAGCACAGAATCTGAAAAATAGAAAAGCTGAAACTCGAGGCATCAGAAGGACACGGAGCTGTTGGAGACCTCAGAGATGATCAGAGGGATGGTTCAGCTCTGCTGTGAGGCAAAGCTGAGAGAATTGGGATTGTTCATCCTGGAGAGGAGCAGGCCTTGGGGTGACCTAACTGAGGCCTTCCAGTGCCTGAGGGAAGCTCCAAAAAAATATGAAGAGAGACTTTGGACAAGGGCCTGGAGTGTCAGGACAAGGGAACGGCTTCCCAATGGCAGAGGGCAGGGTTAGATGGGATTTTGGGAAGGAATTATTCCTTGTCAGGGTGGGCATGCCGTGGCACAGGGTGCCCACCCTGGATCCCTGGCAGTGCCCAAGGCCAGGCTGGACAGGGCTGGGAACACCTGGGACAGGGGAAGGTGTCCCTGCCATGGCAGGGGTGGCACTGGGTGGGATTTAAGGTCCCTTCCAAACCAAGGAATTCTGTGCTCCCATGACTCTATGATTTAACAGCTTTAGTCACTTGTCCATCTTTACAACAATAGAAGGATGAAGAGCACAAGGTGCCTCTACCAGCAAACTTCATTACCTCTACTGGTGATACAAAGACAGATTAATGGCAGAAAAAGTTAATATATCCCTCTGTATAAACATGAGTGCCACAGTTTTGCAGGATCTTTTCTCCATGGAAGAAAGCCAGACTTCCTCCAGAATTTCTGTGAATAAATCAGTCTATTTCTCTTATAACTCTTCCGTTGTTTTGAAGTTTTCAAGCCCCTAATCCCAAGTTTAAAAAAAAAAAAAAAAAAAGCCAAAGTGGACCCATCCAGCTGTGTGCAAGCCTTGTTTGCCTTTCTATATTTTAGCTCTTAATGTTCTAATCTGTATTCCTGCTGCAGCAGAAATCCAGCGATCCAAGCAGGCTGCAGCAGAGCCTGGCAAAGTATGAGTGTTAATTCCCCAGGGAACTGTCAAATTGAGCTCTGTTGTTGAGGAAGGGCCAGAGATACCATCATTCTCACTGCACAGTTTTTTTTTTAAGTTTCCACCAACTCTACAGCATTCACAGTCATTCCCATGATATTAGTGTTTGATGTATGGAAAAAGAGCCAGGCTTTGAAAGGAATGGGATTAAAGTATCAGGGAAAAAAAAAATCAGTTGCTGTATATTTTGGCTCATGGGGATACAGAAAACTTTCAACATCCTGGCAGTTTTATGGCGTTTATTTTTATATTTTTGCAACATGGAGGTGTTTTTTCAATGATGAAGATATTGTGGGGGGCATTGAACACATTGTCTCTTTTGAGAAGTGTGGGTTTTCTTTATGATTTCCATTCCTCATCAGTATATTAATGAGTAATTTCTACAAATTAATATGGGTTTTGATGAGACAAGATTTTTTTGGACATTTTTCTGTCGTATTTGTAGAGCAGACTTCAACTGACCTTCCAGCATCTCTGCTGTAGATTAGGAAATGGAAGTGGAGACAAGGATGGGTCATGGTACTGTGAAGCTTATGCATGTTTCATTTCATAAATAACTTAAATAGTGCAAAACATCCCAAAAATGTTAGGTTTTTATGGGAATATTTAGTGGTTTTAATGCCAGAAATATGAAACTTAAAATGTTATAAAGTATTTTGCACTGTTGTGAGTTTTCCATAATTTCAGTGAGGATTTGTTGCTGTAGGATGGTAATTACATATTTTTCCTACTCAGAATTGTTCTTTTTTCCCCAAAAAAAAAGGCACAGCTGACAGGTGACACTGTTTAAAACCAATTTTTTTTTCTCTAGGGACAATGTCTTTTTGTGTTGCAATAAGACAGGATGATATTTAGACTTTTTCATATTTCACTTCCCCCCAATAATTTTAAACCAATGAAGATGATTTTGTGTGAAGGGAAACAATTTTTCATAGAAGCCTGACAACCACTGGCTTGACAAATAATTACTGAGAACTCCAGACATCCCAGATGTGGCAAGTTAAGGAATGTGTCTGATGTTTTCCAAATAGACTTGTTTGTCTCTGAAAATAAATCATAATAGATTAGGCTAGGAGCACATTTATCAGGAACTTCAAAGCTGAGCCATAACAGTCTTGACCTGTTTGTTTTTTGTTTTGTTTTTGTTTTTTTTTTTCCAGGTGAAGGGCCTGGAATGTCAAGGAGACAAAAAATTCTTTTCTAACCATATATACTTTTGATACTTCAAAATGAACAAACAATAAATTACATCCATAAATAAGTGAATATGTAAATTTTTAGTAACAAACAACTCTGACTTCCACAGGAACTCTTTTGGAAGATGATTAAGAATGTTTAATATACCAAATTATTCCTTTCCACGTTTTGCAATCAGTGCATAGGCATGGAAAATACTCATCAGGAAAACTAAAATTCCTTGCAAAAGTAAATTAATCAAGTGGACACAAAACATTTAGTGTGGCTTTTCTCTCTAATTTGATTTTTCTTCCACTCTTTTATCTTGCATCTGACTCATCATTTCCCAATGACTTTTCCCTCCTCTGCAGCCTAAGGCTGCCCTTCTGCTTTTCTGTTGAAGTTTAGGTTTTCTGTTCAGAGGAGCTGTCTGGAAAGCTGATGCCTCCTTACTTTTGTTTGGATCTTTATGAATTGATTTGTGCAGTGATTAGAAATATTTAAAATTAGTTGTTTCTCTGAGTTTTGCTTTCGAAAACCTGTTTTAAGTATACACAGGACAGTGGAATTCAGATTTCCACATTCCTTACATGCATTGTGCCAAATCACCTCTATATTTGAAATTCCTAAGCATGAGAAAACTCCTTTTTTTCTTTTCTCAGACCCAAACAATTACTACCACAGAAGAAATGAAATGACAACCACTGATAATCTGGATTTTAAGCATCACAACTACAAGGAGATGAGGCAGGTAGGCAAAGAGGCTGGTGTGTGTTGGGTGGTGGATGGGTGAGGCTTTTCAGTCCTGTGGAATCCAAATTCCACAAAAATAAAAATATTATTTTAATTTTAAATTATTAATAAATTCTGTCTGCAATATGTTTTTAAAATATTTTCTCTGTTTTAATCTATTAAATGAAGCAGTCCAATAAAGTCCCAAAGTCTTAATTTGTACATAAATTAACCTGAAATAGGTGACACTATGTAACAGAGGAAGAATTTTCATATAATGTGCCAATCTTTTTCTTCCATATGTATTTGAGTGGTGAATGACACAGTGGTTTCTCCTTCTAGATTTTACTCCGATTTAGCCATCAGTTTTCTCATATATTTCAGTGGGTTTGAATAATCAGAATAAACTCTAGAGTCCAATTCCATATTCACAATTGTGAAAATCATCAAAAATTCACCAGAAACACCAGAAAAAAAAAATTCTGCTCGTATAATTTTAAATCTACCAGCCTTGTTAATCTTGTTCCTTTAACTTCAAACAAGTTCTTGCCTTTGTTATTGTTTTTAATCTTGCTTCATATCACCACAGACACAAGTGTGGGCCATCCTGAAGAAATATTTCTGCCCACTTTCTCTTCAAATATAAAGATAATATGTTTGGACTTGGTGTGTGTGAATCACTTGCTGTGTGCTGGATTTTCAGTGTATTTATACTGCATGAATCACCACTGGGTTTTATTGAGCAATTGTGTACTGAGTCACACGTTTATTTTGGTAGAGATTTCATGGCCTATATTTCTTAGCACAAAGATTAGACGAGTAGGAACGCAATTGGCATAATTACTGTCAAGAACAATAAAATAAAATGTATTTAGGTTGTCATTGCAGGTTGGTCAGGTTAGAAATATCTTGGGGAAAAGAACACAGCTTTAAACCAGAATGTTTTTGCACTCTTCATACAAATGGAAAATCTGTGACTGTAGTTGAGAATTGTGAACTGTGCACTTTCCCAATTTCTTTTTTTTTCTGTGTCAAAATAGTTATTTTTTGTAAAGCTTATTGGATTTTAATCACTGGTGGGCAGAATATGGTGGATTGCATTGCAACAAGTCATATATTCCCAAAATTATTCTCAAAACTTCAGTGCAAAATGAAATAACTGCCAGAGTCAACTTCTTATTAAAAACAAACAAACAAACAAACAAACAACAACAAAAATAAAAACATCACCAACCCCCAAAATATCCGTTATTGTCACTTTTCACGGCTACTTCACTACAAACCATCTTAGAAAAATATTGTTCTTTGATTTATTATCAGCACTGGAGGAGGAGGAGATGGTGTTCCCTGGGCCATGTTTTGGAAGCATCACATTACATTGCAATAAGTCAAGTATTTGTGAGAGGGAGGGATTTTCTCAGGGTCAGGTGATTTTAATAGAACTTTCTGGTTAGGAAAATGAAATTTTACAGCTCCAGTTTTCTCCTTACAAAAGACTATTCAATATTCTTCTTCCAGTCAATGGGAGCCCTCACTGTATTTTGTGCACAGGATTGTTTCACAGCCCAAAATGTCTCTTATTTGTTCATTTCTATGCAGTATTTGTATATATTAATGTGGTATAGAAACTGTTACATGTTTGATGTAAATATTTGAGTACAAACTTGTCTTTGAGACAACAAACCCAGATCATAGGTGAAATCTTGTGCCATTTGTGGGAAATGGGAATGAGAAGATCAAATATGAAATGTCTTAAGTTTCAGCATTGTGTTTCCATTAACTCCATTGCATTACATGTCACCAAGAGTCACAGTAAATGTTACTAAAAAGGCTCTAATGCAAGAAATGTTCTTTGACTCAGAAAATAATCACATGTTTGCAATTAAAGAGATGATGGGGAGTTAGCTGAGGCCAACACAAATATTTCCACTGAATGTAACATACTTGCTTCTGGACATTTTTCTCACTATTAATGAGCATTTCCATACTTACAACCACTTTTCTAAATTGATGTTCCTGGTATCCTGTGAGCACTGGAGTGCCAGGCACGTCAGGAAAGCTTCTGCACGTGGAAGGTTCAGAGGCAGCTCTAGGCAACAGGCTCACATTCCCTATTTCTGCTGCATGGATGCAGGGAAACATCAGCCAGCTCAGTTGGCTTCAATTGGAAGAAGGTGTGAGGAGAGAAATTAGTAAACACAGCTCTGAGTCAGTAACATTATTTATACACTAGGGTTTTAACCTTTAGCTAAAATAGAACTGCTTTTAATGCAATATCTCTACTTGCTGGCAGAGGGAAAAAGAAATTAATATTTCTATTGAAATGTGGCAGCCTGCAAAATAAATGCATTTCTGTGCACTGACACCCTCAGTCACCTTATCTATAGTGCCTCACAGAGTGTGGTTGTTTTAATCACTCTCCATTATTTTAATTATTCTCCATGGCATAATGTTTTAAAAAGGAGATAGCAGAGCTATAAATCCATGAACTAAACATAAAGTTTTTACAACTAAGAGGTAATCAGAGAAGCAATGAAGAGCTTGTGCCACATCCAATTTAGAATGAACCAATTTATTGTGGATCTATTTTGATGCTGCATTGTCTAAATATGTTCTCTTTCTTTCTCTTTTTTTGTTGACAGCTGATGAAAACTGTGAATAAAATGTGCCCAAATATCACAAGAATCTATAATATTGGAAAAAGCAACCAAGGACTGAAGCTGTATGCAGTCGAGATTTCTGACAACCCAGGAGAACACGAAGTTGGTTAGGATTTTAATCTTAACTAAATCTGTTGAAGGGGTGTTGGGATTTGGCTTTTTCCCCCTTCCTCTTTCTCTGTATCTGCACTAATTATCACTGATGGAATTATATTCATGGCAACAAAGATTTCAAATGTATGTGGGAGGAACCTCAGCACTGTATTTCTAAATTGGGAAGGGGAGGGTGAGCACAACTCGAGGACATTTTGAATGTGGGATCAAATTCTTTAATGATCATTCTTCATAATAATAAAATAAAAGTGAACTTTAATACCAGGGAATGGATTTTAGTCATGAGATTGATGTAGCTTTGGATAGAAATTTACCTTAATGCATTGCAAACAGGGACAGGTCAAATCTCCAAATAATTTTTCACTCATGAGGTCTGCAGTTCAATTTCCTACCATGATATAATTCTTCAGCATAGAAAGTAATTCAGTCTTTGGTCCTTCTCACTGTGATAGTGCCTGGGACAGCTGTTGGAATAAAGGAATTTTGTGCTTGGCTGTATCCATGAATACCCTGATAATGTGTTTAGATTGGTTGTTAGAAAAATTCTCTTCTAGCAAAGTATTTTTCATGTGACTTTTAGACCATCAAAACTTTTAAAATCTACCTCTAACATGTTGAATATGTGAGTATAATAAGATATGGTTAATCAAATATGCGTTTTAGAGGTTTTACACAGTGGTTTTAGATATCACTAATACATAAGCCTGTTCTAAAAAGCAACAGAAAGCAATTTATTTCCCTAAAGTGACATTTTCGCCACTCATCTGTGCAGCTGAGACATTTCTCCAACACCCCTTAAGTGAAACGCTGCCGATTGACATCGATGCCAGTTGATAGAGATTTGAGTTGCTGCTCTGACTACAACTCTGCTCTGTGTTTTTGGGTTTTTTTTCCACAGGGGAGCCAGAATTCCACTACATTGCAGGAGCTCATGGGAATGAAGTGCTTGGACGAGAGCTAATCCTTCTGCTAATGCAGTTCATGTGCCAGGAATACCTGGCTGGGAACCCACGCATTGTGCACCTCATCCAGGACACCAGAATCCACCTGCTGCCCTCAGTGAACCCTGATGGATATGACAAGGCCTACAAAGCGGTAATTAGGATTATGAACACATAAAGAAATTCTTTTCTTCCCAGTAAATGAATCAAAAATGCTTCTCTTGTCTTCATTTTCTTCAAAGATCATGTTTTTATGCGCGATCGAAATTTAAAAATGAAAAGATGGGCGTGTCAAAGTAGACACAAACTATCTTGGGAGAAAGCTGAAAGAAACAGTATTTGATGTGATGTGGGCTAACAGGAAAATGTACATGAAAGGAGGGTCACAAAGGCTGCCAGAACAAACCATCCTGGGGTGTACGGAACCATGGGAACACCATTATGGAAAATGGAAAATCCATGCAATCTGTTTCTCACGTGAAAATTTGCATTCCTCTGCAGCTGAAATTTAATAGTGTGCCTTTAAGGAGAGCATGATGTGATGGGCATTGTAATAATTCAGTCTGGATGAAGACAGACACCAGGAAAAATTGTAGGGGCCGGTCAAATGCACTGGAAAATCTTCCAGAGCAGTCTGCAGAAAACTGAACAGGAAAGTCAAAATCATAGTCATGGGAGGGAATGTCTGCTGTCTCCATTGAGAGATATATTTTGGCTAACCCCAAGTAAATTTTCATGGGTTTTCCTTCACGTCATTTAAGATTTCATTCAAAATTTTTAAAAAGTGCCAATGATTTAATTCAGTTTATTAAATAATTAATCTTCCATTTCTCTGTGTAGAATTACCTCTGGCATATTCCCAAACATTCTGCAGGGGCTCACATGTTTCTGTATTCTGAATGAACATTAATTTTATTTTTCCTTGCTTTTTCTATTTTATTTTTTTTTTAATCTAAGGGTTCAGAACTGGGGGGCTGGTCCCTGGGACGCTGGACTCAGGACGGCATTGACATCAACAATAACTTCCCTGACTTAAATTCTCTGCTCTGGGAGTCAGAAGATCAGAAGAAGAGTAAAAGAAAAGTTCCAAACCATCACATCCCAATCCCTGACTGGTACCTGTCTGAAAATGCAACTGTGAGTAAGGCCAGGAGAGGGGACACAAAAGCTGGGATGTGCTGAGAGAGTGAGATTTACATTTCTCAAGAAATTAATAACCTGGGTGTGAAGTTCCACACTTGTTCTAAGTCAATAATTCCCTTTATGTCAGTGGAAATAAAAAATACACCACAAAAGCACCATTTTCTCCCAGGATTTAGAGGCAGATCTTGAGGAAGAAACTGTTTCCTAGAGGATTTTCTTTCCCATCAGTAAGAACTTGAAGGACTCAAACCCCAACTTTTATGTAGCAAGGTAGACAAGGAGAAGCACAGCATGACCTCGGCCATGTGGATCAGGCTTCTCCCAAGTTTTGTGGCATAGATGAGCTCTTTGAAAACTCACTCACATATTTGTCCTGGGATTTTATTACTCTTACTTGAAATATATTCTTATCTCAAAAAACACAGCAACATATCTGGTATATGCAAACCCCGTGCTGTGGCTTATGTTAAAGTTATTTACTGGATTGTAGTGCCAGAAATGTAACTTATTTTGGCCTGACCTTTTAAATATAATGGCATCTATTTATAGCAGTTTCACTGTGGCAGTTTTTATTTTACTACTTTAGAATCACACAATCTTGGAATAGTCACAGTTTAAAGGGGCTCTGGAGATCAATCCAAGGCAGGGTCACCTGGAGCAGGTGACACAGGAACACATCCAGGTGGGTTTGGAATGTTTCCAGAGAGGGAGACTCCATGACCTCCCTGTGCAGCTGTTCCAGCGCTCTGCCACCCTCATCCTCCTCTTGAGGATTGTGTTTTAATTTATGACCAATATTTCTACATTTAAAATCCCTTATTTTGGAAACAAAGAGGGAGAGCGATGTCACCATCTGACACCTCTGTCTGTTTCTGCTCTTGGCCTCACTTGACACAGATGTTCCTGCTCCTTACACTGCTGATATGAAGGTTTTGTTAGCTCTTAAGGGATGTCTGTGACCTCCCAAGGATGGCTGATAAGCACCATAATTTAAAGAAGGCCTTCTCTTTGCCCACATCCCTTCTGCTGGCCCCTCACACCCAGGAACTCCTGAGCTCTCCCTTTGAAACAGCACGATCAGACTTCCAGGCTGAACCAGAGCCGCTGTGACTTTTTCTCCCAGGTGGCGGTGGAGACGCGGGCGATCATCGCCTGGATGGAAAAAATCCCTTTTGTGCTGGGTGGCAACTTGCAGGGGGGAGAGCTGGTGGTGGCCTATCCCTACGACATGGTGAGATCCATGTGGAAAACCCAGGATTACACGCCCACCCCGGACGACCACGTGTTCCGCTGGCTGGCCTATTCCTACGCCTCCACGCACCGCCTGATGACGGATGCCAGGAGGAGAGCCTGCCACACCGAGGACTTCCAGAAGGAGGATGGCACTGTCAACGGAGCCTCGTGGCACACCGTGGCTGGAAGTAAGTGGTAGAAACTCCAATTAGCGTTACCTTGCTAATTAGGGTAAAGCCAGCGCTGCCCGGTGTACGTCGCAGCAGCGGGGGTGGTGAAATGTGTGTTCTAAGAGGAATATTTCCAGATGTCATTACTGTTATTAATACCCGGTGACTACTTCTTTTGCAGCCAATTTTTCCAAAAATGCACATGCAGTATATTAGCTTTAAGAACTCTGTGCACTCAAGACAGTTTATCAGGAAGAAACCAACACAGTCCAAACCCCCACACAAGGTCACAAGAAGAAAACTGCTGCCAAGCACCACAACCAGTGTCAGAGCTGAAGCAGGGGATCCAGGGAATTATTCCAGTGGCTCTCAGATAAGGAAATACTGATTTCAGCCTCCTGCTGATTGAACTAAGCCTCAGATCAGCTCTCACTCACATTCACATGCCATAAAAAGCTACTGTTTGCCTGCTACTCTCCTATTTCTAGAACACCTGGATGTCCATACACTTAATTTTTGCATGGGCTCCACAGGCATTCCTGCTGCCAGGATAAATCACAGCCTGGATCAATCTCCCCACACCCAAGCCTGTCACCCTGTTAAGGAGCCCAGAGAGGAAGCCATGGCCTATGGTGTGGCCAAAAACCTCAATTTCCACGAAAGCCCAATTAGAAGCCCATTTTAAACAGCATTAGGCACGTTTGCCTTTGCTCAAAATCCTCATATGTTTCTAAGTGCATCAGTCAAACAGCATATTCCCTGAAATTAGGAAGTGAGACAGGCATCTGCCACCAGTGGGCTGACAACAGGAGCAGCACTAATGGCAAACAGATGCAGGCCAGTGGCTCTGAAATCCAGGTTTAGCTGAACCTGGCTCATGTTTGGAACTTGCAGGTACTTCCACTGCATAAACATTTCGGGATTTTGGACATGGCTTTTATGACTTTTATATTGGCCCATGTGGAGTTAGTGCTGGCCAGCCTTTAAAGACTACAGTTGAGAATTAGCTTTTCAAATATTTTTTTTCAGCAGGTTAAAAAGTGTTGGGTGAATTTGAGGGGGAAACCTTGAACTCTTAGGTCTGACAGAACATTCCCATGCATTACATTCCTGTAATTTCTTCAGTACAGAAATGCAGTACATTTCTGCAGATTCTAAAGCATTCTCTGAGAGCTAACTTGGCCACTTAATTATCTAATTTATGAATTTAATTTTCATGAGTGCTACAGAAACATCATTAGGAGTCAGTCCAGAAAATATGACATTGGCCTTGTAACTAACAGCTGTCACAATGAGTTCCATTAAGTAAAGATGGATAATATAGATGCTGAATGTTACCCTGATTTCTTAGGACCAATTACATTTTGGATTTGTTTCATCTGATTTCTTTATTTCTTGATGATGTTATAATTATGATTTATGTCCTGCTCTGTTACATTATGGTAAGACCTCCAAAAAAGTGCTTGCAGACGCTCTTCCACCCATCCTTTTGTGTGAGTGGCATCCCCTCAGTGTACCATGCCTTGAAACTGCCTGTCCCCTCTCTCCTCATCCATCTGCTTCCTTGCAGTGGTCCTGCACAGAAACTTCTCACTGCTTATGCCATGGGAAAATTTAAATGGGATTTTTCTAATTTCATGTCAGTCCCTAGAGAAGCATGTGCACCACAGATACCCAGCACCTCCTCATGCCTTTAAAACCCAGCCATGATATTTCCTGCACATTATTTTGACAGCAGTAAATGCAAGTTCTTCAGCAATTTTACATATAAAATTTCTGCACTGGATGAACTGCACAGAGGCAAAAAAGGGATTGGTTTAATTTTATATCCTGTGTTTTGGAGGCTGGATTTGCATGTTCAGGCACTCAAAAGAGTCGCTCTTGGCAGCACAAAGCCATTTTCTTAAATACATGTATTAAAACTGAGCAATTAGTGTGTATGGCAAAACATTTCACAGCAGATTAATCAGAATGTTATACAGTATGTGAGGGGAAAATAATTGTGGCTGTTTCTCAAGTGGAGGGGAAGCACATTTATGTAGAGTAGCATATGCCACTGGCTGATGTTTAGGTTTTCCCCATCAACAAAAGTGAAAAGTTTAACATCTGTATTATATAATCCTCCTGCTCTGCTTCCAGAAGGCACTGAGGGCTCATTAAATACTTGACTACTGCTCTGTGCTAATTGAACAGGAACAGGGATTTTGGGTTAACTCTTCTTGGTAAGAAGCACTCAGTGAATCCAACTCCTGCTGATATTTGCTATTTAAAACATAACAATTAATGATCATTAACAAACATATTTTAAAATATTTTCTTATTAGAAATGCAGGTGGAACAAGAAATGAAGCTCACAGAATTTCTTCCTTTAGTGTTCATGTTCTGTATCTCGTTATCTGTGTGAGAGTGGAGAACTAATAGGGAGGAAAATAATGGTGAGAAACAGGAGGAGAAGCCTGGAGAATGGAAATGTTTGAGCTCTGTATGAAAAGACAGCCTTCCTTAGTGCCACAGACCTTTGCAAAGGTTACAGTGGCCTCTGTAATGCAGAATTAAACTGCAGCTCCTCAGAGAGTGGAGGCACTGAGGTTCCTGGGGCTTGATCAGGACATATTTCTGATGGAAATCCCAATTGCAGAGCAACAGTGCAGATCCCAGTCTTCTGCAGCACTGTGATAGGGAGAAAAGAGACCCTCTCATTTCTTACAAACTACAGACACCATATGTAACATAAAATATTTAAAAAAAATTACTGCCTTGATTTTTCTGGCTTTTCTATCTGCTAGATTACTCAGGGAGGAAAACAGACTGAGGAACTATTTCACCAACTGCTCTGATAAATCTCTTTTACATAACAACATTGCTCTGTGTCCTGGCATTCAGGGTTCAGTCAAATGGGAATTCTGTGAATTGGGTAAACAGCTGCACCTCCCTGACACCCAACACAGACAATTCCCTTTCCAGCCAGGGCACTCATAAGGGAAAGCTGCTCCATGGGCAATGTCCAGGATTAGGAATGCTTAGTGCTTTCTTAAAAAAGCACAATTTTTTCTTGTAGAGAGAGACCTTTCTGCTGGTTGTGTCCCCATCATCTACATCAATAGAATCCCAGAAGGGTTAGGGTTGGAAGGGACCTTAAAGCTCATTGAGTTCCACCCCTATCTGGAGCAACTTTTCACCATCCCAGATTGCTACAAGCCCTGTCGTTTGGTTTTGAAAACCAGGTGTCTGCTAAGGAAGGCAGGAGCCTCCCTTAAATGGAAAATGTAAACTCCCTCCCTCTGAACTGTTATGATTTTGAAATTAAGGGGAATAGGAATAACAGTTCTTTAGTAGGGAAGAAAATAAAAATAAAATAAAAAATGCAGTAATACAAAACAACCTTGACAGAGTCAGAACATG